TTAGCGTATGGGCCGTGGGCTTGTGTTAGTGTTAGCGATCCTTCTCTAAGTGATATTTTGAAGCAAGTTAACTTGCGCTATTTACCCGGGGTTTGGTACAAGTCTCGTCAACTTCCTTTTTCAATATCTCTACTCTGGAATTTGCAAACATTGAAAATTGCAGGTTTTGGAGGAGTCTTTGCACCGCCTGAAATTTGGGCTATGCCACAACTTAGGCATTTGGAGTTCTCTACATGGATATATCTTCCCGACCCTTCTTTCAGAAGAGAAGAAAAAGTTAATGTCATTGTTTTGAAAAACCTGCAGACACTTAAGAGAGTATTGAATTTGAAGTTGACCGATGAAGTCTGTAAGAGACTCCCCAATGTCAAGAAATTGAAGATAATGTACTTTGGTTTGTCGAAAAGTTCACGTTACAACCATCTCTACAATATTGGCAGATTACATAAACTCGAATCATTAAGGGTTTATTTTTGTGGCGACTTTTCGGTTTTCCAAATATTAAAATATATCGTGTGTTCACCTCTACGACCGCGGGGTAATTTACTGAAAAACCTCAAGTTCCCAACTTCGCTCAAGAAGTTAACCTTAAGTGGTAGCAATCTTGATTGGGAAGAATTGAAAGGGATTGGTTCGTTGCCGAATCTTGAAGTTCTCAAATTGGAATATCATTCAGTGAGAGGATCCAAGTGGAACCCTATCGAGGGGCAATTCCTTCGCCTGAAATACCTACGTATTGCCCATAGCACACTGAAATACTGGAATGCTGAGAGCTTTCATTTCCCGGCATTGGAGAACCTTGTTCTTCAGAAATTGCACAAACTGGCGGAGATTCCTTCAGGAATAGGGGAAATACCTACACTTGGCCTTATTCATCTGTACGACTGCAGCAAGTCTGCGGCCATATCAGCAATGGGGATACTGGAGGAACAACAGAGTCAAGGAAACGAGGATCTTCGAGTTCGAATCCAATAATTTACAGTTTGGAGTGCTTCAATTCCAATAATTTACAGGTCTCTCATCTCGATTAAAGCTTGTTTCATATTCGACAACTCCTGGATGAAAAGAAATACCAATACATCAAGTTATTCTTGTTACAGATGCCTAAGTTGGCCCATGTTTGTTTCGTTTTTCCGATTATTTGCAATGATTCAACTTTTATGCATAGCTTATGAATTCAACTAGCTGTAAAGTAGATTAGATACAAATAATCGAGGCAACTTTTAGTTATTGATAAACACAAAAATCGAGATCTTCTCCAGCAAGTTATTGTAAGATTCGGTTTAGTTAAACAGCAACATCTTTTCTCTGGTTGGTTTTTATTTGCTGCTCTAGTTTCTCTTATGAACACAGCTGTTGATCGCATTTTAAACCATGCTTTCTTTGCATCGAAACTTTCCGCAGATTCAATATTATAACAAGCATACTAAATAAATAAATAAATAAACTCCGTTTTTTTGACCCGTTCCACATATTCAATATTATAACAGCAAACTTCCCAGCTCGACGACACTGGGATCGAGCACATAAGCCCACATTATATAAACTTGACCTTTTCTTCCCCTGCCGGCACATTATATATATATATATATATACATATATATATATATATATATATATATATATATATATATATATATATACATATATATATATATATTTGAGACTTTGTAAATTCAGCCACTTGCCCTTTTTTTGGCACTGTCTATTACTCTCCCATTGATTCTCACTCAAGAACTTCATAATTTACAATCAAATTTTTTTTTCTTGCAAATAATTTGATGATCAGCAATATGCATGTATGTCTGCTGTTCTTGAAAACATTGCTTCTAATTGTGTCGACGGCGAATTCCGAGACGACACAAGTGAGAGATGCACTGGTTCAGTTCATGGCGAAGCTGTTACCATCAGACAACAACAACAACAATGGTCAGAGGGAACCGAATTTCGGATGGAACACAACTTCTGATCCATGCAATAACAACTGGAAAGGCGTCGTTTGTTACCCTAACTCGGTAACAATCAAGAAAATAGTGCTCGAAGAACTCGACTTCACCGGCACATTCGATGCCGCCTCTCTCTGCACAGCAAAATCTCTCACGGTCCTCAGCCTTAACTCCAACGGCATCGCCGGAGCTTTACCGGAGGAGCTATCGGAGTGCGGGCGGCTAACGCATATATATCTACATGGGAACAAATTTTCAGGAAATCTTCCTAAGAACTTATCGAGATTAAGCAAGTTAAAGAGGCTCGATATATCGGAAAATGGCTTCTCCGGCGATATTCCGGAGGGTTTTTCAAGAATTTCCGGTTTGCTTACTTTTCTTGCTCAAAACAATAGTCTAAGTGGGGTTATACCTAATCTTGATTTCTCCAATCTCGAAGAGTTTAGTGTCTCAAACAACGAACTCACTGGCCCGATTCCTGATGGTGGGGCCCGTTTCAATGAAACGGGCTTTCTTGGAAATCCCGGTTTATGCGGGAAGCCATTGCCAAATGCTTGTCCTCCTCCTCCTCCATCTGCAAAGAAAAGTTCATCGAAAAAAAACTATTTTATTTACACGGGATATGCTTTAATAGGCTTGATTATTGTGAGCCTACTTTCTTTGAAGCTGATCAAGAAACGAGCGTCGAAAAATAATAAAAACGGCTTTAAAACGGATCGAAAAAACGAAAAGATAAGCAGCAGCACTTCGAGTGATTATTCCGAAGCTAATAAAAGGTCGGAGTTTTCGATAACGTCAGCGGAAAGCGGGAGGAATTCGTCACAGCTTGTCGTTTTATCAAACCCTGTCGCGAACGAGCTGAAGTTCGAGGATTTGCTGAGGTCACCGGCCGAGTTGATCGGGAGGGGCCGAAAGGGGAGCGTTTACAAGGTGACGGTGAACGAGGCTGTGACTCTAGCGGTGAAGAGAATAAGGGATTGGGATATTTCGAAAGACGGGTTTCGGAAGAGGATGACGAGGATGGATCGAGTGAAGCATCGGAATGTGATTCCGGTCGTCGCTTTTTATTGTTCGACGCAGGAGAAGCTGTTGGTGTATGAGTTTCAAGAGGGTGGTAGCCTTTTCAGGCTTCTACATGGTGAGTTCTAACTTTTCTCTGTCTTTATTTTTTTATTTTTTATTTCTTTTATATTTTACATAAATTACATTTACAATACATTATATAAATATGTGATATTATTAATATTGTTTCTATATATATACATTCTGGAAAAAATGGAATGCTTGGAGAAATTTGAGAAATTTTAAATCAGATCGGAAGTCGGAATTTTGAATCATTTTTTGATTTGAGGATCGGAATTTTTCTAAAAACGATCTACAAGTACTCTCCCATGGTCTCAAATGCATTATTCATGTCCATTTCAGGATCGAAAAACGGCCAATCGTTCGGTTGGGAGAGCCGATTAAACGTAGCATCCAAAATCGCCGAGGCATTAGCCTTCATGCACGAAGCACTTCAACCCGACGGAATCGCGCACGGAAACCTAAAATCCTCCAACATTCTACTCACGAAAGAAGCCGAGCCTCTCATAAGCGAGTACGGCCTAGCAGAGTCGGATTATTATCACAATCATGAAAGCAACTCCATCGTCGCGAATAATAATAACGACGTTTTCCAGGCCGATATTTATAGCTTCGGTATAATCCTCCTCGAGCTGCTAACCGGAAGAATCGTTCAAAACAATGGATTCGAACTCGCAATGTGGGTGAATTCTGCGATAAGGGAAGAATGGACGGTTGAGATTTTCGATAAGGGGCTCGTTACGGAAGGTGCGAGTGAAGAAAGGATGGTTGATTTGCTCCACGTGGCACTAAAGTGCATTAATGGTTCATATGAAGAAAGGCCTAGTGTTAGGGAGGTTGCTTGTATGATAAACTCTATTAAGGAGAATGAAGAGAAATCTATGGTTTATGATCCTTGATTAGTTATTGATTAGGCCATCATTTAAATAGTTGAGAAAATAATGGCTTTGATCTTCTTTTTTAGTTGTCTGGTGGTTTTATTTCTATGGATGGATGGATGATTATTTCTTGGTTGATTCATCTTTTTATCATGTGATGCAATAGTTGATGATGACTTTGCTACTCATTTATTGAAAATGTAACTTAATGTTTGAGAATAATTGATTTTTTTTTAGAATTGGCTATTAATCTAGTCTAGTTTTTCGATTTGTGATTGTCACATAAGAACATGAATAACAATAATACAGAGAGAAGGAGCGAACACATACGAGAAAAATAAAATGCGTAGAGAAATAATTGTGGGGATATTTATGGGAGGGAGTATTCTAATTAATATAGGATAAAATCATCAATAGAAGTTATAAGGGATTACAATAGTGATAAGTTAATTAACTTTCTCCATGATGATGATGATGATAAATAAATAGAAAATAAAAAACAAAAACTAATTTTAAGAAAAAAATGAAAAAACGAAAAATGAGGATAGAGAGAAGGTGAAATGAGTATGGATTTATTTCAAAGAATGAAAAAAGGATTGAATATCTATTTATTAACGAAAGGTTTGAGGAGGTTTTATCAAAGAGTCTCTTATTTTATATTCATCACTTACATCAGACTTCAATATCTCAATTCCTCGTTTGATTGTCAAAATAATATTAACCAATATAAGATTAAATAATGTAATGAACCCAATTGTAGTTATTGAACCTTGGAATGTTCAATAAAAAAAAACACGTCTAGAAGACAAGATAAGTCATGATAATATAATATTTGCGGGTCAACTCCGTAAATTATTGTCGATATCAAATATCAATCAAAGTCCAATCATTTTTAGTTAATAATAACAAATCTCCACAACCAAATGAGGCTTAATAAGCTAATATTAGAAGATGAAAGAAAATACAAAATAAACAATAAGAAAGACACCAATAAAATACAAATTTGTAATGAAGGTGAAAAAAATTCTTCAAATTTTGACAAAAAAAAAAAAAAAAATTGCAATTACAACCTTGAACACTGATCCAATGTTGGTATTTCTCAAATGTCTAAAGAGAAATCATCATCCAGGAATTGTCGAAGATGAAAGAAGCTATTTTCACTGGATTCAATAGAACAATCAAGATGATGATAGTAAAAGAGTTGTAAATTATTGCTATTGAAGCACTCAAAATTGGCCACCTTTTCCTTGAACCTCTCAAATTGGTTTTCCTCCGAAAAGTGAATTCGAACTCGAAGATCCTCGTTTCCAAGACTCTCTTGCTCCTCCAGTATTCTCACTGCTGACACTGCAGTAGACTCATTGCAGTTATCCACATCAATAAGGCCAAGTGTAGTTATTTCCCCTATACCTAAAGGAATCTCCTCCAGTTCGTGCAATTGATAAAGAATAAGGTTCTCGAGGATTGGAAAATGAACCCTCTCCGAATTCCAATATTTGAGTTCCAAGTAGCGGATACTTAGGTATTTGAGTCGAATGAATCCCCCCTCAACAGGGTTCCACTTCGATCCTCTCACTGAATCATATCCCAATTCGAGAACTTCAAGATCTGGCAACGAACCTATCGCTGTCATATCTTTCCACTCAAGATCGCTATGCCATAAGATCAACCTCTGGAGTGAAGTCGGATATTTGAGGTTCCCTAGTGATCGTGGAGTTGAACACGCAATATATTTTAACATTTGCATTGAGAATTGGAGCACCGAAAATTTTGATGAGATGCCAAACTGACAATCTAGGTATTCGAGTTTATGTAACATGACAATATTGTAGAGATGGTTGTAACACAATCTTTTCGCCAAATCTGGGTACAATAACTTCAATTTCTTAATATTGGGGATTCTCTTGCAGACCTCTTCACTCAACTTCAAGTTCACTGCTCCCTTAAATGTGTGCAAGTTTTTCAGAACAATGACATCATCAATTTCTTGGCTTCTTAAAGGAGGATCTGGAAGATACATCCCATGTGTGGATTCCAAATGCCTAAGTTGTGGCATTGACCAAATTTCAATCGGTGCAACAAATCGTGGTCCACCATCAATTTTCAATGTTTGCACATTCCAGAGTAGAGACATTATTGACCAAGAAAGTTCACGAGAAATATGAAAGTGTTTTGGGAAATAGCGCAAGTTAACATGCTTCAGAATATCAGTTGGAGAAAAAGTCATATCAACCGCATTCAGTACTCTCAACAATCTGAAATTAAACGGTAGCCGACCTCCATTACCCAACAAAGTGCGAGTAAGGAGCGGTGCTGACTCAAGAATATGAAAGAGTGGATGCTCACAATTTACCGCTGTGATTTGTTTAGGAAATAAAATGCGACGCTCCTTAATTATACGTAATGGACTGTCATAACTCCGGATCAAATAAAGAAACTTCTCTTTCTGAGATGCCTTTATGCATAAGTCTCTTAAAAGATCGTGAATTGTGCACGTTTTAATTTTTCCATTCCACCCCAACCTACCAACTAAAAGGAGATTCCTATCAACAAGATCCTTTAAATAACACTCTGCAACCTCTTCCAAACTCTGAGTTTTATTTGGTTTTATAAATCCATCAGCAATCCAAAGTTTGATGAGTTTGGAGACATTAATCTCACGGCCTTCTGGAAAAATTCCCATGTAAAGAAAACACGGTTTTAAATGGACAGGTAAGTGCTTATAACTCAAAGATAATATGTCTAAGTTTTGCTCTTCCTCTCTTATATTCGGGATCAAACTTATATCATTTGAAATATCCTCCCATAATTCTTGTGTCCTAGAAGACTTCCTAAGAAATCCTCCAATCACAACAATTAATAAAGGAAGCCCTTTACATTTTGTAGCAATTTTCTTTCCAATTTTCTCTAATTCAAGAGGACAACAACCTTCATGTGGAAATGCCTTTTCGCAAAATAGCTTCCAACTTTTATCTTTATCTAGAAATTTCTTTGTAAGGAATGTCGAGCCAAAATGAACAGCAACATTTGACAGCCTAGTGGTTAGGATAATTCGACTTCCATTGTTGTTATCTGGAAAGAAAAACATCATCTTTTCCCAAGCATTGATACTCCAGATATCGTCCAATATAATCAAATATCTCCTATCTATTAGACTTTGATACAACTGTTGTGCTAATTGTTGTTCATCAGTAGATTGACTGCTAATTTGGGGAGAAAAAAGTGTTGAAAATATTTCTGTCAAACTGTACTCTTGAGATATTGTTGCCCAAGCACGAATATCAAAGTGATTCACAATTAATCGATGTTCATAAGCATTTCTAGCAAGAGTAGTCTTACCAATGCCGCCCATGCCCACGATAGGGATGATTTGCAGACTCGACTGTCGTGCGGTGAGAACATCCAAAAGTTGGATCAACTCCTCCTCAAATCCCACCATCTTGCTCTTTCTGTTACTTGATGAAGTGCTAGGAGGAGCAGACAACGAATATGTGGGGCCCTTTTGATGATCTTTGACTCTCCCTTCTTCTTTAAAGTTGACAACCTTATCCTTGACATAATCGATGTCTTGTATTACTGTCTGAAGATCAAGCAAGGAAAATTCGCTACAATTCACGCCTAAGTCACA